ATCACATACGATGGCGATAATACTATACCCATCAGCTACAAACAGATGGTATCTATCGTAATATATAACAGGGCACCCTTTGTTTGGGGTGCCGCGAAACTTCACATACACTAGCAAGTGCAGAGGAAGCTAATTTACTCAGCAGCTATGTTGAGTAAAGGGTAAAAAGAGAACTGAATATTAAAAAGTTAAGCTATCAATATCACTTCAATCCTTTTTAGCTATATTAATCTACATTGTCGTACGTCGACAATCTGCTCACCACTTATTGCGCGCGTCTTGCAGCGATTGGTGGTAACCTTAGTTAATATGTATTTTATCAACTACTGCTTGAGCAGGACGTATATATTATCCTGAAAGGTGATAAAATTCCTTCAATATTACGTTCTCAGGTAATATTGTCAGGAGAGTGTCACGCTAGACAATCTCCCTTTGAACACCGTTTGGTGTCAATATCATGTGACGGGCTACCCCCATACATAACCCCCCTAACCATTAAAAACACTGGTGATTAGATTTTATTGATTATCGACACATGTAAACACCGTTGGATCACTCTGGGAAAGGAAGCACCACTTGTTTAAATCCAACTCATATGCCAATTTATCGCATGGTTTCAAAATCCATGTGGTGCGCTGCCGAAGCAACAAGTAAGGCTGTTACACGCATGCGTGCAGCCGGAGAGGGTTCTTCTCTTGCTTCAGCAGCAGGTGATCATTCGCCTGCTGTTGATACTGGTCCCCGTGGTGAGTCACCACGTGCGACCAATGCATCCGCTGCTTCTGCATCGGGTGCTACGACTCTCAATTGCGATGAGCCTGATATAGGGATCATCCTGATTGCGAGCCGGATGATGCATCCTATTTGAAGGTGACACCTCACGCCTCCGGATCATCCGGGGCGAACACTGCAAGAGCCCGGTTGAATGGCTCTGGGGAACGTGGCGGCATCATGTCCGAGATCTTTGGACCGAGCTATTCGTCTGACGAATCCTTGTCTCACGCAAGTCCATCTGACACTAGGACGCGTGGTGATGGTGGTGACATACCTAAGCGTCACTACGAGAAGAGAAGTCGATTCCTCGAGCTGATATTGGTGCCAGTGATCATGCTGGCACCACACACGAGTCCAGGGACCGCAATGTCTAGCGCCATGCTCCTTAAGCAGAGTCTCCTTGAATGCCGTCATCCAAAGAATTAGATCGAGTGGCCGGCATGATCACCGAACGGGATCGAACCCCGTTGTTGGACTATAGGAGGATCTTTCCTCCTGATTACCAGCACGGAAACTACTTGTGTTGAGGAAGAATTCTACACCGATGTGTTTGTCAAGCATCGATGGTACAATGTAAACCGTGATCGAGATGGTAAGGCCTTGGTGCAAGGATGGAATGCCTTCATCCATAACATTGAGTGCATTGGCCGTGAGGCCTGGCTCGGTAATTTTGGTGCAGCTCGCATCAAGTTTGAGAAGCATAACCCAGTCGGTGTACGGTACAAGCTGCACCGACTGTCAAGAGAGGCATGATTACACTGTCTCTCGTGGGGTGATTCGTGTCCAAGTTGCCTGAACAACTCGGATCGTGCCCCTAGGGAGACCTGCCTCCCTAATGTTCCCTACTGGAGGGCGCGCATCTCTTCTGAGATGGCCGAAGGGATTGAAACCTTGCAATCTCTGTACGCGTGTTCAAGGAGGTCTTTTCCGACGGCACCTCTTCGAACGCAGCGGGTGGGTCTCGTCATATTGCTCGACGAGATCCGTGACATCAACGATCAGCTAGACGCGAGGCTCCCAGCTGTCCCAGGCCGGTGGATAGCCACGCCAGCGGACGAGGTAACTCGTCCGGACGCCGTTCACGTCGCGGTGGTTCAAAATACGCTCCACTAGAACGCGTTGACCACCGCCAGAATATACCAAAGGATGTGGAGGTGGAGGATCCGAGGGTCGGATCAACTTGATATTCAGGAGCTGAACCGTGTAACGGATAAGTTACATGATGACCTGGCTCATGAACGGACTCGGCGTTATGAGTTTCAGGATCTTGTAAGGAATAATTACAATTCCTTAGCGTACGATCATTCGAACGATCGTGCCGAATTTGCGCTCACGCGACTTGAGAACGAACTTTCGGTCCATCCTCTTCGTGACGAGCTGACTGCAGCTCGTCAGGACATCGTTCAACTGCGTGAGCAAGTCGCTTCGCTAGTCAACCAGATGGCTCGTAAAACGGGACCACTCGAAGGTGGTCTCGGCCCTTGATCACGGAGGTGTTCTTTCACCTCTCGAAACGGTCTCGGTATGATAGTACGGGCGGAGACGTCCAACGTAAACGTAGGATGTGTATGCATCTTACGAGGCAGTTCAATTGTGTAAGCGTTGCCCATACGGCGCAAAACACAAAATGGATCGATGTACTTGAGCAGTAGTTCGCTGCTGCCCACGTCTGTCACTGCGTGTTTCGGTAGATTTACTGTAGACAGCAAAACTAAGTCTCCTTCATTAAATGGAAGATCCTTAGTTTTACTGTCTACAGTAAATCTGCTCTTTCATGTTTGTATGCGTTTCTTTTCTGTCTGTCAATTGTGTCTGCAATAGAGTCTTGAACGAAGCGGACAGCCGCTTTGCGAGTCAGCAGAAATTTCTCTGCTGTTTCATACTTGTTAACAGCAGTGCGCTTCGTGTGCACTGCTAAAAGGACGTTGTCTTCATCAGTGAGGGCGTCATACTCCTCATTGTGGCAGTCGTTGGCGATGCTGAATATACCAGCATCCTCTTCATCATCGTCATCGATGTCGATGTGATCGACATCGGCATCCAACACGTCGACATTGTTGTCGACGTGCGATGAGCAAAAACCAGACCGTTTTCATTTGATCGAGTCCACCCCTCCCTTAAACTAAAGTCACACTCTAACAAGGCGGGTAAACGTAAATGGCGTAGGCCATTCATGAAGAACGGTGTATGCGTTGTCGACGCATGCACCGAGTTGTTGCTGGCAAATTCACCCATCGGCAAGAACTCAATCCAACTTGTCAACGATTAGACGTACCCTCGAAGTATCTCTTCGAGGACGCGGTTGACGCGTTCCGTCTGACCATCTGTTTCTGGATGGTCAGAAGTTGACATCGTCAAACGTGTCCCCAGTGAACGGAACACAGTTGCTAGAACTCCGCTGTGAAGCGGGGGTCCTAATCAGACACGAGTTCACGGGGTAACCGTGAAAGCGGAGTATAGTATTGATATAGACACGAGCACAGCCCTGGGCTGTAATTGATTCGGTACAGCAACAATTTGTACCATCTTTCTCAAGCGATCAACAAACACAAGAATACCAGTATTCTTGTGAGCGTATTTTGGAAACCCAAAGACGAAGTCAACGATACGGACTGTCATCACTCTGCCGGAAATGGTAGGGGCTGCAAGGGTGCGCGGGATGAAAAACTGGGCTTCCCCCTCTGACAGACTTCGCAAGCGCGAATGTATTTGCTGTAACGGGGCACCCTGAAGCTTGTACTGATGACAGTACAAGCTACTTATTCTGATGACAGAATAAGGCGGTGCATCGGAGCTTCACGTACACTGGTACGTGCAGAGGAAGACGGTAAGGAGAAGCGAGTACTTGGTTAAAGTAAAAAGTCGAACTGTATTTATAATAGTTAATTTCTGTTAATAAACCACTGTTTATCCTCATCCAACTATGTCTAAATACTAATGTGTATATCAACTACCTGCTCACAACTCATTGCGTGCGTCTGTCGTGGCGCGTCTTTGTTGGTTGACATAATGGCCTATATCAACCAATTAGGAACTACTCGTAAGTGCTACTAGATATTTGTCGTTGTGACAATATTCTGAGAATATAACTCTTATAGTTATCTTCCATTACCAATTTATTATAAATTGTTATGTAACGATTCACCCCGTTACATCACCCCCCCCTTAACCATCAGTCACTTTAGTGACTGATTGACTAAATGGATACTCGTCCCAAATCATTTGGGACAGGATTTGCACTTGTTGGTCCGAGTCCCCTTTCCTGCAATTCATCGCATGGTTAACAAGCCCATGCGATGCGCGAGAAAGGCCGCTGAGAGCGCGTCTGCACGTCTCTGTGCGGACGCCGAAGCAGAAACCGCTGCAACCGATGTGTCATCGGTTGCTAAAGCGTCTTAGTCTGTATCACCTCGTGATGCAGACGCTCGTCATGAAGACACTCATGTCTTTACAGAGTATGAGCTCGGTATCTTGTACTCTCCTGATTTGGAAGAGGGATCCGCATCGAAGGCGGTTGAATCCAAGCCGCCTACCAAGCGTGGCATGGATGATGCTACGCGTCGAAGCATCTTTGGTTTGTCTGACGAATCAGATGAAACATCGCCAAAGCGAAGGCGAGGTCGCAAGACTCAGGCGCTCACAGTGGTGTCAATTCTCCTATTGAGACCACTTCGCAACGAGGTGCCGGTACTTCGGTCGGCACGTCGCAGGAAGAGCGGGACCGCAACGTACTGCGTCTCGCTCCCGAAAAGAAAGCGTGGCTGCCTCCTAAATCAGTCATGGATCGCTTTTCGGTGACGACAATTGATCGCTATCGAACACGATTGTTCGATTCATCAAGGATCCATCACCTTGACCCCAGCGCGAAAAACTATCGCGCTGAACATGATTTCTTCATCGATGCTTTCTTTAGACATCGATGGTACAGTGGGAATCACAAACGTGATGGTCCCTCGCTACTTCAAGCGTGGAACGCCTACATCCACAACCTCGAGGATGTAGGTCGTGACGCTTGGAACGACAAACTTATCAAAGCTCGTGATAAGTTTGAGAAGATAGCCCCGACAGGTACACGCTATAGGCTGCATCGTCTGTCTAAGGAGGGTGGGTTACCCTGTCTCTCCTGGGGAGACTCGTGCCCATGTTGTGTGAACAACTCAGCGCGCGCACCTAAGGAGGCTTACCTCCTTACTAGCCCGTGGTGGCGCATACGTATCTCTACTGAGATGTACGAAGGGATTGACAGCCTGAAATCCCTTTACGACCGTGCCGGGAAGACTTTCTCCGGCGGCCCTTCTGCGGCACCGGATGTGCCGCGTCGTACTGCTCGACCAGACCCAGTACGTCAATCAACAGTTGGGAGCGGCGCTCCCAAGTATCCCAGGACGGGGGATAACCGCGCCACCGGACGAGATAACTCGTCCGACGTCCGTTCACATCGCGGTGGTTCAACAGCCGCTCAACCAGATAGTGCTGGCCACCGCAAGAGTCCTCTAATGGAGGTGGAGGAGAAGGGAAATGATCTCCAAACTTTCGTGGGGAAGCGTGTATCCCCGAGAGCCTCTTTGATCGCGTAACTCTTGCGTTGCGCGGCGACCTCAAGCACGAGCGGAATAGGCGTCTCCAAATGGCGGACACTGTCTCGAAGCATCGAGCTGAGTTTGCCTTTGCTCAGCTTGAGAACGAGAGATCTCTGACATCTCTTCGTGACGAGCTAAGGGTAGCTCGTGGGATTGCTGATCGGTCTCGGGATGAGATAGCTGCTCTTCAGACCCTTGTTGGTGCCCACCATCGGGAGCACAAGGCTCTCTGCGAGATGCTTGAGCGCAAGGGCGTTCTTCATCGGAAGAAGCAGCGTACTGATGGTACGGCTTAAGCCGACCAACGTAAAACGTGGGATGCGCTCGCATCTTACGTGGTAACTCGATCGTGTATGCATTGCCTAGGCGGTGCAATACACGAAATGGGCCGATGTACTTGGGTAGTAGTTTACTGCTACCCAAGTTAGTCACTACATGCTTTGGTAGATTAACCGTAGACAGTAGGACTAAGTCACCTTTATTAAATAAAAGAGTGTTTGCCCTTCCATTCTTGTCTGCGTTTTGCTTTTGCTTATCCACCGCTTCGGCGATATAGTCTTGCACAAAACGGACTACCATTTCACAAGCCAGCATGAACTCATCTGCTGACTCGTTAGCTTCAGTGCGCTGTGAGTACACTGCAGCAACATCAACCTTTTCTTCAGTGAGGGCTTCCTCGCTCTTACTGGCATCATTTTCTTCGATATCGATGTTGTCGATATCGGCATCAAACGCAATGACCTCTTCGTCAGAGCGTGATGAGCGTGAACCAATTCGGTTTTTGCTCGCGCGAGTCCCTCCCCCTTAAACCAGAGTTACACTCTAGTAAGGTGGGTACACGCGGATGGCGCAAGCCATTCACGTAAAACGGTGTATGTGTCGTGGACGCATGCACCGAGTTGTTGATGGCAAACTCTACCATTGGCAAAAACTCACTCCAACTCTTAAAGGAGTGTACGTATCCTCGAAGTATCTCTTCAAGGACACGATTGGCACGTTCCGTCTGACCATCTGACTCTGGATGATCAGATGTTGACATCTTCAAGCGCGTTCCGAGTGATTTGAACACGGAACGCCAGAAATCAGCAGTGAATTGTGGATCTCTGTCTGATACGAGTTCACGGGGCAACCCATGAAGTCGGAAGATGGTGTCAATAAAGACACAAGCACAGCCACTTACTGTGATTGACTCTGGTACATCCACAAGGTGTACCATTTTGCTAAATCTGTCAACAAATACGAGAATACCCGTATTCCCGCGTGCGTCTTTACGTAACTGAGGATACAACGTATTCCCGCGTGCATCTTTGGGGAAGACGAAATCCATTGTGATGGATTCCCAGCACTCTGCCGGAACTGGTAGAGGCTGTAAAGGTGCACGCAGTGAAGGACTTGACTTCACTCGTTGACAGACTTCGCATGCGCGAACATACTTCCGCACAAACTGATACTGGCGGGGCCAGTAGAAGTCTCGACTCACCGTGAGATTAGTTTTCTCTCGGCCACGATGTCCTCCTATAGGAGCATCGTGATACTCGAACATGATCCGCAAACGCAGATTAGTATCATCTGGAATGACAACACGTGGTGTGTCACCAGAAACGGCTGTATAATACAGTAAACCGTTACGAGTAGTGTATCGATCTGATGCAGATCGATACGCAGACGACAATCGTTTCAACGATTCTCGAGATGGTTGGGAGAGATGTGACAATAACTTTACTATCTCACCATCTTGGGCGTATGCCCGCCTCACATCATCATACAACGTTGTAGATGGGACTGAGGACGTCATAACCGCAGCAGTGACTGTCTCACTGTTGGGTTTCGCGACTGTTTCAAAGTCGGGACGACGTGAGAGTGCATCAGCGACGACATTAAGTCGTCCTGGTTTGTACTCGACCGTAAAGTTGTATTCCGCAAAGAATGACAACCACCGCGCCATTCGTTGTGAAAGGTGCGGGCTGTTCACTGCCGTGCGTAATGACGCATGGTCAGTGTAAACAACGAAGGGTCTATCTCCTAATAGATAGACTCTGAACTTCGCGAGTGCATACTTCATGGCAAGGAGTTCCTTGTCATGCACTGGATAGTTCCGCTCATCTGGTTGCAGCTGACGCGACTGATAGCAGACGACGCGTTTAACGCCTTCAAGATCGTACTGCATTAATGCACAGCCGATTGCGAAATCGCTGGCATCACAGACCACATGAAATGGCCTGTCCTGATCGGCTATTGCTAGGACTGGGGATTGTATCAAGCTCCGCTTGATACCATCAAAGGAGCGCTGACATTCAGCGTTCCATAACCACCTCTCGTTCTTTTTCAACAAACGAGAGAGGTGCACAGTCATCTCGGCGCAAACGCATGAATACTAGTGTAAATACGCCGCTAGCCCAAGGAATTTTCGAAGACCTTTGACATCAACTGGCACAGGCCAGTCGGTGATCGCCTTGATCTTTTCGGGATCAGGACGTACACCGTTCTTACCAACGATGCACCCAAGAAAGTGGTATTTCACTTGCTGCAAGTATACACTTCTTGAGGTTTGCATACAATTGATGCTTTCGCATGATTGTAAGAACTTGTCGGACGTGGTACCTGTGAACCTCAACGTCCGACTTTCCATCCATAGCTCGACTATGGATGAATACGTCATCGAAATAACTCGGCGCGAATTCTCGTACTGGTCTCAACAGATTTGATACACATCTGTTGAACGTGGCAGGGGCATTACTGAGCCCTTGTGGCATTACTGGCCATTCCCAGAGCATGACGCAAGGCGTGCTCATTGCTGTGTACGGGATGTCCCGTTCTCGCATAAGAATTTGATAGAAGCCATCCATCAAATCCATGGACGAAATGATGGTACTCTTTGACATACCATCAATGATTACGTCCTTCCTCGGTATCGGCGTCTGAGCCGGTACCGTTGCAGCATTCAATTTGTTGAACGCGTGCACTATCCGCCACCCTCCTGTTGCTTTTCGCACACAGAAGGTCGGAGAGCTATGTGGGGAAGTTGATTCCCTCAAATGGCCCGCAGCTAAACGATCGGCAAAGAACTTGTCGATCGCAAGTACTTGTTCACGAGGCAGTGGCCACTGCTTCATGACACAGTACTTCGAGCCTGGCTTAAGCTCGACCTCGTGTCGAGTACCTTTATCCTTCGGTAAGTCGCACGGAACAGTTTCATGGAATACATCCTTGAATTCAACCAAATCTTATTAGAGAGGATTTGTCTTGAGCGATTCCCACGATTGGGAGTCATATCGCTCAATTCGTGTCTTTTCATCGAGGACGCTCTCGTCTATCGATGAACTACTGAGAACTATCTCGTTCTCAGTAAACACTGTTGATGACCTTATGTCGGCTACGCACTCGTCGTCAGCGACGAGTACGCAGATCTGCTTGACTTTGCCACTACGCAGATCACGCAAGAACCTTTTATGTTCGAGCGTTGGCAACTGAGTGATCTCCGAAGTCAACTTCGGAGGCGCAATCAGATCAAGTGTATAAGCGCCTACACTTGATCCGTTAATGACTATAACATTTAATGTCTCTGTCATTTCCTGGGGACTTATTTCCTCAGGCCTCGAAGGACTTATTCCTTCGTCTTCCCGGGGACTTACTCCCTCGGGTTTCGGGGAACTTATTTCCGCCGTATTTGTAATATCGGGACTTATTCCCTTTACTTCCTCTAGCTGGGGTTGCGCAACCACAGCGAGATCCTCTACGAAAGACTCTCCAGTCGATCTAAGATTATCGTTTCGCTTAACCTGAGCGATCGATTGTTTCTCTTCTAGATGTTCCCCGCTAGGGACACATCTTTTTCCCGGTCCACTAGACTTATTCAAGTAGTGGACCTTCGGCGCAGCCTGTGTTTCCTCACGTCCGCCGGAACTTTGCTCCGAAGTGTAACTGTTTGTTACACTAAGGTTTCGTGCAGTCGTACTAACGACCGTACCACAAGTGAGGCCATCGCACTCACTCGTAGTACATCCACACGCTTGTGGACTCTCCAAAACGTTCATCAGATGGCCATCTGATGAACAAGCGGCAGGCATCGTTACTGTCCGATGTTGCCAGTTTACTCGTGGTTCGCACCTTCTGAGCCACGGTATTCCAAGGATGACATCAAATTTGTCATCCAAATCCAATACGATGAAGTCATCGTCATATTGGGTATCTTCTAGCGTATAGTGGATCTTCACTATACGCTTCGTGACGGTTACGGATGCGCCTGTCGTAAAACGTACCGCCATCCTCGTCGGAGGTGTGTCACATTCACTAAACTTATAGTGGCCATCTTCTAGCGATTGGCGTCGCACAAAATTGTTGGACGCCCCACAATCGACTAGAGCTCGAAGGGACAACTTATACGTCACTTCGAGGTTCAAGGTAATGAGTGAGATCTCATTACCTAGAGCAGCAACGCACAACGTTTGTGTGTTGGGAGCAACCTTCATCAAGAGGCCTACAAATTCTCTTGACGTTGCTGGACCAGTAGGGTGCTCCGCACCTACTGATCCTGTCCGTTTTTTTGACGGTCCATCCCGTTGTTGCGTCTTTGCACCAACAGCGGACCCGCGCCCCTGCCCCTTTCTCATGGGTGGACGGTCATTACGCCCAGTGTTGCGAGACACTGGGCGAGGGGCACTACACTTGTAAGCGTAGTGTCCTGTCTTCTGACATCTGTTGCATTTCTGCAACTTCTTGTAGCCTGTAGAGCGAGCCTTCTCGCTCTCTACATAACAGAGTTCCATCGGATCTGGACCTCTGCTGTAATATCGTCTCTGTGTACGATATGATATCGAGCTGGCGCGAGCCTGTCTCAGACTGAAGTCTTCCTGTTCCGCAATGGAAATGGCTTGTTCTAGTGAATTTGGTCAATCCGGAACAGGTGAGTCTTGACGGGACCATACGCAAGACCCTGCATGAACAACGAAACCAACGTGTGTTCATCCACCGGGTTGGAACGTATACAACTCGTGAGATGTCGTATATGTTGCGCGTAAGCGTGCACATCACGCTTACCCTGTTTGAGCTTCAAGAGTTCGGTTCGAGCTCTGAACTCAGCTCTAGGCGGTTCAAACGTTTGTCTGAGCCGCGACTTGAAGACTTCCAACGACCCAAACGCAAATGGGTCGTGCAACTTGAGCCCCAAAGCCCAAGTCTTGGCACGCAGGCCAGATTTGATTGGGCAAATGCAACTTGCATATCCCCGTCGTCGATGCGACGCGCCCTTATGGCGTCATCCTATTCGACGAACCATCTCAAGAGGGAGTCCTCTTCGACCCCCCTATACTTGGAGATGTCAATCTTCAAAGTCTCGGGTCGACGCGAGTGCATCGACCCGCCAGCAGCAGCCTGCTGCTGTCTCAACAGTTCAAACTGTTGAGCACCCTGTTCTCTCAACAACTCTGCTTGTTGAGAACCTTGTTGGTGAAGCAATGCTACTTTCTCGCGTTCTGCGTCAAGTTCATTTTGAATGAACTTGGCGATAGTAGCATGTTGGGCATCTCTATTGAGAGCCTCTAGCATGACGCTAACAGCATGGATGCCCATGGTCGAACCCAACCGTTCAACCGCATCCCATTCGACATCGCTCAAATGGGAGTAGCCGTCACGCGTAGCGTGAAAGCTTTGGTCATCTTAATCATCCAACATATTCATGTTGGATGTGAACGCGGTACTTGGACGGACTACGAAGTGCTACCCGGTGGGCACCCTGAAGCTTCTACTGATGACAGTACAAGCTACTTATTCTGATGACAGAATACGGCGGTGCCTCGGAGCTTCACGTACACTGGTACGTGCAGAGGAAGACGGTAAGGAGAAGCGAGTATCTGGTTAAAGTAAAAAGTCGAACTGTATTTATAATAGTTAATTTCTGTTAATAAACCACTGTTTATCCTCATCTAACTATGTCTAAATACAAATGTGTATATCAACTACCTGCTCACAACTCATTGCGTGCGTCTGTCGTGGCGCGTCTTTGTTGGTTGACATAATGGCCTATATCAACCAATTAGGAACTACTCGTAAGTGCTACTAGATATTTGTCGTTGTGACAATATTCTGAGAATATAACTCTTATAGTTATCTTCCATTACCAATTTATTATAAATTGTTATGCAACGTTTCACCCCGTTGCATTTGCGCACAAATTCATACTGGCGGGGCCAGTAGCAGTCACGACTTAACGTGAGGTAAGTCTTTTCTCTACCGCGATGTCCACTTGTTGGGGCATCGTGACACTCATACATGATGCGCAATCGCAAATCATCATAAGCGGGAACGACGAATGAGGTGTGTCGCCGTAGACTGCTGTATAGTACAGCAGTCCATCACGAGCCGAAAACTGTTCGGTTGAAGATCGGTATTTAGACGCCAAGCTTTTCAAGGATTGGCTGTATGGATTGGACACGTCATCCATTCAGCGCAGAAGAGACTCATCTTCTACGTACGCCTTTCGCACGTCGTCGAGCAGATTCGACGACGGAACACTACTGATAGTGTTGCAACAGTGGGATCACCTCCACTGTTGGGTTGAGCCGTCGGCTCCAATTTGGGCCGACGCGAAAGAGCATCAGCGACGACATTAAGTCGTCCTGGTTTATACTCGACGGAGAAGTTGGTACTCCGCGAAGAAAGACAGCCACCTCGTCATTCGTTGCGAGAGGTGTGGACTGTTTACGGCCGTGCGTAACGACGCATGGTCGGTATAAACGATGAAGGGCCTATCTCCTAAGAGATAAATCCGAACTTAGCCAGTGCGTATTTCATGGCAAGGAGTTCCTTGTCATGCACCGGGTAATTTACTCAGCTGCTTGCAGCTGACGCGATTGATAACAGACGACGTGCTCAACGCCGTATGAGTCTACTGCATCAACACGTAGCCGATCGCAAAATCGCTGGTGTCACAGACCACATGGAATGGTCTGTCCTGGCCTGCAATCGCCAACACAGGCGATTGCAGCAAGCTTTTCTTGATACCTTCGAAGGAGTGCTGACACTCAGCACTCCATAACCACCTCTAATTTTTCTTTAGTAGACGAGAGAGATGTACGGTCATCTCGGTATAGTTGCGCGAGTCCTTGTGCAAGTACGCCGCTACGCCGAGGAACTTTCGAAGTCCATTGACGTCGACTGGCACAGGCCAGTCGCTAATCGCCTTAATATTTTCGGATCAGGGCGTACACCGTTTTTATCCACGATGCAGCGAAGAAGTGGTTTCTTTCGCTGCAAATATACACTTGTTGAGGTTCTCGAACAACCTATGCTCAAGCGTAGGTGTAAGAACCCTCCGGACATGGATTCGATGAGCCTCCACGTCCGTCTTTTAATCCATAGCCCGGATATGGATGAAGCCATCGTCAAAGTAACTCTCTGCGAAGTCTCGCAACGATCGCAACATACTTGTAACACATCTGTTGAACGTTGCAGGGGCTTTTCTTGGCCCCTGTGGCATTACTAACCACTCCCAGAGCATGCCACTGGGGGTGATCATTGCTGTGTATGGGATGCCCCATTCACGCATGAGGATCTGATAGAATTCATCCATCAGATCCATGGACAAGAATATAGTACTTTTTGCCATATCATCTATGATGAATTCCTTCCTCGGTATCGGCGTTTGAACCGGTACCGTTGCAGCGTTCAATTTGGTGAACGCGTGCACTATTCGCCACCCTCCTGTGGCCTTTCGCACACAGAAGGTCGGAAAGCTGTGTGGGGATGTTGATTCCCTCACATGACCCGCAGCTAAACGATCGGCAAAGAACTTGTCGATCGCAAGTACTTGTTCACGAGGCAGCAGCCACTACTTCATGATACAGTACTTCGAACCGGGTTTTCAGTTCGATCTCGCGTCAAGTGCCTTTGTCTTACGGCACCACGCATGGTACGAATTCAGGAACAACATCCCTGAATTCGATCAGATTTTCATAAAAAGGATTTGTCTTCAAATACTCCCAAGATTGTGACGTGTATCACTCAATCCGGGTCTTCTCATCGAGGACAATCTCATCCATCGATGAGCTAGTGAGCATTCGTTCGTTCTCAATAAACACTTGTGCCGACCGAACATCGGCGACATACTCATCCTCTGTGACGAGTACGCAGATCTGCTTGATCTTTTACTACGCAGATCTCGTAAGAATCTTTTCGATTCTATCGTTGGCAACTTGATTACCTCCGAAGCTGACTTCCAAGGTGTAACCAGATCAAGTGTTTAAGCGCCCACACTTGATCCGTCATTCACCAAGACAATCACCGTCTCGGTGATTTCCTGGGAAACACATTTACAGGTGGTTAAAAATCCACACCCTCAACATAACTCTCTCGGGAGTTATCACTCTCAGGAGCGCTGGAACTTTCTTCCAATACGTGTACTGACTGTGGATGTACTACCACAGTCACGCCCTCTTCGATAGAATCTGTTTCAGTCGATCGGGATTGCTCTACGATAGACTCTCTGTTAGTCGATCCCGGTTCAACGTGTTGTATATACCGAAAAACACTAATCTCTCTGCTTGGATGCACCCTACTTGGTGTGTATCCGTGATCCAGTCCACTCAATCTCTTCTAGTGGTAAACCTTCGGCACAGCCTGTGTCTCTAGACAGGTTCCGGAAGATGGTTCCACAGTGTAGTGGTCTTCTACCCTGTGATCTTGTGCGGTCATACTAACGTCCGTGCCATATGTGAGGCCATCGCACTCACTCGTAGTACATTCACACGCTTGTGGACGCTCTAAGAAGATCATCAGATGGCCATCTGATGAACAAAACGGCAGGCATCTTCACGGATCGATGCTGCCAGCTGATCCATGGCTGGAACTTTCTGAGCCATGGCAGACCGAGGATGACATCAAATTTGTCATCCAAATCCAGTACGATAAAGTCATTACCGTACTGCTTTCCTTCTAGCGTGTAGTGGATTCCCACTAAACATTTTTTTACTGTTATGGATGCCCCAGTAGCAAGGCACACCGTCATCATCGTTTGAGAGATCTCTCGATCAACATGGCTGAGTCTACTATCCTCTAGCGACTAGCATCGAACAAACTGCTCGACGCCCCGCAGTCAACTAAGGAGAGAAGTGACATTCCACTTGCCACTTCAGTCTTCAAAGTGATGAGGGACACCTCATCACTAGGGGCAGTAACACACATCGACTGTGTGTTGGGAGCAATCTTCGTCAAGATTCCTGCAAATTCTCTTGACGTTGCTGGATCAACAGGGTGCTCCGCCCCTACTGAATCTGAAGATTTTTGGCGGTCCGACTTGCTATCGCAATTTAGCGACATGGTCGGACCTACGTATTGGAACTTTCTTTGGCCAACGGCGGTCACCACTTTTTGTCTTTGGACGTGTGAAGGTGCTTGAAAAGCTACGCTCATAAAGCGTAGTGTACGATCTCCTAGCAGAGATGTCATCTTGCCAATAGCTTCTGGCTCAAACAGGGAGTGTTCTCGCTCTCGACATTACAGAGGCACATTGGTTCAGGACCTCCGGTTTCCTGTGGTCTAGTTGGACGATAATTTGACGAGTTATCCTGAGACTGTCTCAGGCTGAAGTCTTCTTGTTCCGCATATGCTATCGCCTTTTCCAGCGTATGGAAGTCCTCTTGGAACATGTATGTCTTGATCGGTCCATCTACAAGACCGTAGATGAACACGTTGATGAGCGTGTGCTCATCAACAGGTTATTCCGTGACGCTACTCGCAAGGTAGCGTAGGTGTTGTGCGTAAGCATGCACATCAAGCTTGCCTTGCTTGAGCCTCAGGAGTGCAGAGCGTGATCGGAAATCGACTCTCGGCGGCTCAAACGTCTCTTTGAGCCGAAACTTCAAGATCTCCAACAGCTCAAACACGTTGGGGCCGTGAAGCTTGAGCTCTAAGGCCCAAGTCTTTGCTCGTCCTGTCAAATTTGACAGGGCGAAGGTGACTTGTATCTTGTCACCCTCGATGTGACTGGCCGTAACGGCGTCGTCTAACTTGAAGAACCATCTCAAAAGGAAATCTTTATCGGTTCCCTTGTACCTGATATGTCTATCTTCAAGATTTTGGGTCGACGCATGTGTGTCGGCGCGCCCATCGACTGATGAGAGCCTTGATGTTGTAGCAAGGCTATCTTCTGTCTCTCAACGGCAATTTCCCCTTGTAGGGACTTGTTGATAGCAGCATGTTGCTGATCTCTGCTTAGAGACTCCAACATGCCGCTGATGGCGGGTTCGCCCGTGAGCACACTCAAGCGACCGAATACCTCACATTATGAGTTGATCAGATAAGAGTAGCCTTCACGTGTGTCGTGAAATCTGTCGTCTTCTACGTCCACCATGTTCATGTTGGACGGACACTAAGTAGTCGCTGGACGGACTACAAAGTGCTACCAGGTGTAACGGAGCATCTTTACCGTGGGTGCCACGAAAATACACGTACACTAGCACGTGCAGAGAAAGATAATCTTCTCAAACTGCTAGTTTGGGTAAAGGGTAAAAAGAGAACTGTGATTAGCATAGTTAAGTTATCAATGTAACTTCGGTCTTTATCTAACTATATCA